AGAGGAGAAGGTAGAAATGACTCAGCCTGGAACTGAAAATATGGATGGAGGACAACAGAGCTGCTTCATGGAAGAAGAACCTCAGCTTAGCCTGTCGATCTGGAGGAATCGGATGAAATCCTGAAACGACATGGGAAAATTCCCGAAGCAAACAAGAAAAAAGCTGAATGAAGCAGTTCTGTTTCTGTCACACGCATCAAAGGAGCGTTTGGTGATCGATGAGACAAAGTCTGAAGCAGGAAAACACGGAGGGGAGGAGGTGATGGAGCAGAGAGAGGCTCTGTGGGGTGGACGTGAGAGGCAGAGGCAGCAGCTCAGACAGATGTTCATGTCTGAAGCGCCTCAGTCATCTCACCATTTAAAACATCTGTGTGGGTTTCCAGGCCCAGCAATGAGCCGCAGTTACCTCCGAGGGAGAAAAGGCTCACATGTGGAAACAGAGCACTCAGAGAGCTCAAACCTCCTGAGGCTGCACTCTGCTGGTTCTGTGGAGGTGGATCTTCATCCAAATACAAACACTAGATCATTTATTCAGTCAGGAGCTTAACTTCTGAATTAAATATTTAAAAATGTAAAACAAAGACCTGAGAGGCCTGAAACAAACAGGATTAACTTCATGTTGATGTGAACCTTATTGATTTGTTTTGGTTTATTAAATAAATGTTGTTTCATGTAAAGCAGAAAAAAAGTAAGAATAAATATCAGATAATGTTTTCTGTAGCAATACGTCCAGGGACGAACCAGTTAAGTCCTGGAGACTCACAGGATACCTACTGGGATTTTACCAAATCACTTACTGAGTGCCTACAGGATATGTCCTACATATTCACAGAGTACTCCTGGGTATTCACATCGAAAAACGTGGGTACTTCAATTGTATGCAAAGTGTACCTGGTGGCTACAAGGTAATACATGGGTTCCAGCAGGACACAGGGTACCTAAAAGGACACAAACTGGGCACCTACAGCGGTACTAACTGGGCACAAAAAGGGAAACTAACCTGGCACCTACAGGGGAACAAACAGGGTACCTAATGGGGTGCTAATAGGGTATCCACAGGGGTACAAACATAGTACAAAAAGGGATGCAAACAGGGTACCCACAGTGGTATTAACAGGGCACCTACAAGAGTACAAACAGGATACAAACAGGGGTACTAACTGGGCACCAAAAGGGATACTATCCCGGCACCTACAGGTGTATTAACTGGGTACCTACAGGGGTACTAACTGGGCACCTACAGGGGTACTAACTGGGCACCTACAGGGGTACTAACTGGGCACCTACAGAGGTACTAACTGGGCACCTACAGAGGTACTAACTGGGCACCTACAGAGGTACTAACTGGGCACCTACTGGGTACCTACAGGGGTACTAACTGGGCACCTACAGGGGTACTAACTGGGCACCTACAGAGGTACTAACTGGGCACCTACAGGGGTACTAACTGGGCACCTACAGGGTACCTACAGGGGTACTAACTGGGCACCAACAGAGGTACTAACTGGGCACCTACAGAGGTACTAACTGGGCACCTACAGGGGTACTAACTGGGCACCAAAAGGGATACTATCCCGGCACCTACAGGTGTATTAACTGGGTACCTACAGGGGTACTACAGTGGGGAAAATAAGTATTTAGTCAGTCACCAATTGTGCAAGTTCTCCCACTTAAAAAGATGAGAGAGGCCTGTAATTGACATCATAAGTAGACCTCAACTATGAGAGACAAAATGTGAAAA